ATATATGATACTGAACATAAGAGAAATTGAGGTATCCTTACGCCAGAGGCCTTAGAAGAGTATCAAATTCTTCAGGATCCAGAGATGTGATTTCTGCTGGGAGTTTCTTCAGCAATGAAAAATACTACACAAGCAAAGGATGATAAAGACTTTAGATGCATTAGATACACCCAAGATATGCTAATATAAGATGTGGACCATATATCAGGACAACAGTCAAGAGTCTGATTTATGTTCATGACTGTAGCCAATGTTTCAATTATCTGAGAATCAGTGCATTAAACCGCATAATCACCATGTGGAGGTGAAGCATCTGAGAGAAGTCTATGAGGTCCAACAGTTTGAGCAATTTGCGTTGGGTGTCCAGAGGTTTGAAGGAGAATCCACCGTTGAGTTCTGAAGATGCACATAGTGACAGGAAACCAAGCACAGACAGGAAGGCCAAGTCTTGTCTGGATAAATGTTCCTCAGATAATGCACTCTTGGTCCCTATACGATCAAAAATGAAGAAAAAACTCAATTATGTGATCTCAACTGCTGAAGAACATTAAATCACACAACATGAATCCCTGCTTATATCTTTGAGTTTTCCAATCTCTCTGAGCACCTGTTGTGTACTTTGAATCAGCAGCTTCTTCATTAGACTGGTGAGGTCTGAAAGTGCTGTGGTGTGTCCCATCTCCATCTTCAAACAGATCAATCTCCTCCCGACTGTCCATTTGGGTTCTGCTCATATCCATATCTTCATCCATGGGGTCATTCTCCATGACTGTGTTGTCCTTTTTACTCGAGTTGCTTAACTGCAAACGTAAAAGGCGCGCTTTAGATGAGTGTCAATCAGCAAGATAAATAACAGTTTGGTTGTAAAATCTCAGTATCATTTCTAACAGAAAGAAACTATGCTTAAATGCATTTGTATGTTTAAAGGTGTTCAAGTGTATAATTTCGGCATCACTAGAGGGACTAAATCATAAAAATAATGTTTTCAAATACACTCAGGAAACATTGAGGAGAAATTGGACAGAGATGAGGTGCAAGTAAGTCTCACCAGTTGTTTAGATATGTCACACAGGTCATTTAGCAACCTCACAGGCAAAGTCTTCATGAATAAATTGCGAGAAGTGGTGGAAATTCCGTCCTCCTAAAAAAAAA